CGTCTAAGTACCTCGAATAAACGCACCGAGTTATCCTGACTTCACTTGACACAAAGAATATCAGAATTGCCTGACAAAGCTACTGACCTCGGGTGCGTCTATTCAAAATTAACAATTATTTGAGAAGCTCTTCAGCCATTATTACCAATGGGGAAAGTGCTTTAACCAATGAGGTTACGGTACGTGCTCGTACCGTTGCACTGTCGGTAGGCGCCCATCAATACCATGGGGAACAGGAGGCTAAAGAAGGTTAGAATGAGAGCGCGATCTTTTTGCCTCCCATTTGTCACCATGAAAACCGCAGACGCGAATCATTTCTCCGTCACGAGTCCTATTCTATCGATCAAAACTGCCATAATTTCTATTCGTACTGATAGCAGCATCACAACTGTCGTTATTATCGCCATAATTCCCGGTGTGCCTTGCTTCGCGTTCATAATTTTTTGTTGTTGAGTAATAGTCTTTTTGCCGTTAACTGTCTTGCAATTTGTTTCTGCTTCTTGGGCAGATAGTCTTTGCTTTCTTACATAATTCATCACTGGTGCACTTTTGGTTCACAGACATCTGCGCATCCAGACCGAGGCCGAAAAGAGCGACTACCAGCTGAATTTACGGTTGCCCAGGCCTGACTTTGCCAAAGATTCATCTCCTCCCGAAGACCAGAATGGAGAACCTGGGCTGCCGCAGGCCAGTTCTCGCGTCCTCCGTCGTTGGTTGAGTATATTCGACTGTGCTCTCTTCTTTTCCTCGGTAAGTTCCGTACATCTTTTTTTCTCCCTAGACACTCTGCCCAAAACAGCGCTCTGTTTAACTATTGCTAGGCAGGTAGATTCCTTTTTAGGGAGTCTCTTGTACTTTTTCATTTGATTTATCTTAAAAAGACGATGTTAGACCATTATTTCTATCAGCAATAATACGGAAGCCAATTTTGAGCTTCCGGCTTGTTTTTCTCTATCTCTTATGCAGGCTTTTCAGTCTCTACATACTACTTGTGTGACGGCTTTTTCCGACATTTCTGTAGAATACGACCGCGCGTTCGCTCTTTCCTACGCCCGGAGGCGGGAAATAAATTTCTCCAAGACTTCCGTCATATCGATGTAAACTATTTTCACTGTGCGTTATTATGCATTTTTAACTACAGGGGAATCTCGGTTAACGAGTTTAATACGTTTCGGCACCGAGCTCGCTGTCTAAAACGTTAGTCTTGCGAAACAGTTCACTGATTTGCTGTAGGCGACCGAGGACCCACGTTCCGGGGAACAAGGCTCAACGGCAAAAACAGGCACACGCGCACTGGTAACCCGTTTACTGGGCGGAAACTTGTTACTCGAAACAGATTTTCTCTTAGTGACTCCTGTGTTGCCTTAAATGCTCGTAGATGGGGCTGCTCGTCATCCGAGGCTCTAATCTAGCTAATTTTGTGTGGCGCAAGCTTGCCATAACCTATCTTATGATCTATTATAATGGCAGTCATGGTACTGGCATGCTAATTTGCGGTTGAATGATTAGCGCTGTCCATGCCTACTGAGAGTAGAAGCATCCAACCAGCCGGTGAGTTATGGATACAAACTGTCTGCCATTAGAAACTGTCGAGACTCATTGAAGTCTCTAGCGATGTCGTCCCGTAAGGGTACAGGGCTTAGTAGTCAAATCTGCCGCTGGCTAAAATTCTTATAGGGCTTTACGACTCTGCAGGCGTGTTTATGTAATCTAAGTAAGGCTGTTATATGCATGGTAGTGTTTATTTGAGAACGTGAGGAAGCAGTTGGATCGAAACGTCTCAGCTACGGTAGAATAAACTTAAATTCCTCTGTAAGGGTTGATCAAAACACCAAGCGAAATTAGGTGTGCACTCTTTGTAACCTTAATGAAATTTTTTATTGCAAATGGACTCCTTCCTAACTTTTAAGACCCAAAATACCGCAAATGAAAAACCTTCGGCTGTAAAAAACCTTCTAAAGCATGTTTTCGCCTGACGCCTTGGTTACTTACCCCGGACATTATTTATTCAGAAGAAGAAGACTCGATCGCTGGGACAATATGTCTATTCGCCTGACGTTTCGATATCCGTCGCGGATTCGTCATCAGAGACATGAGTAGCAGAAAGCAGGATAGTGTTGTTGATACTTCTGACTTCACCTTTGGTCAGCCATGCAGGGAAGTGCTCCCGTACTCTTTTAGATAAGCGCCGACTCGTGCGACCGATATAACGTGCTCCACAGGAGCACGTAAATGAGTATATGCACATAGAAGTGGTCTGAGCTGGCAGCCTATCCTCTATGTGATCCAGTTCACACATAAGACGTTATTTGCTCACAAACCAGTGTTGCTCCTGATTTCTTGCGAAGGATTAACTAAGAATGGATTCTGGGCAATGGTTCAAGTATAAAATATGCACACAGTAGCTTTGAGGGTTATCTGAACAGCGGACTAAAGTCATGCCTCCTCCAACTATTCATTTAAACATATAGCAGACCTCTACGGCCGAAATCTACGGATTAGTCGGTTCCGAAAAAGTCCGTTTTTATATCTTTACCCTTTAAGGGAGACAATATCTCAAATACATGGAAGCGTCGACTACGTTTTTCCATACAGAGAACGTACTATGCAGCCGAAATTGTGTTCCTCACTCCAACTAAAAGCCTTTCGTGTCTTCTTCTTCTCAATTGCTTCCTAGGACACGGATGTTCGCTTGTATTATTTATTCAATCAATCAAACTGCATCATTTCACTGATTGGCAGCAGGCGACCGAGGACCCACGCTCAGGGAGCAAGATTCAATGGTGGAAACCGGCACACACACACACACACA